AAAAACGCATAAAAAGCGAGACGGCGGGAGGGCGATGTTTCAGGTACGCAGTTTGCTTCTAGGCGAGAAATTCCAAATGAGTGTCATCAGCTCATATAAGCAAATAATATATCAGTATTTGCTCAGTAAATAATACTAATCTAAAGAGCAAATGCAGTACTAATGGTAGAAAAAGAAGAGGCTGAAAATACATAATTGATATAAATTGCTTTAAAAGTCAGGCAGAAATAGAGACAAATGTAAAGATAACGTAGGCAATACTTTGTCAAGCAAAGTTATCCAATGAGTGTAGATAAAGTGGAATGGATAAAGCCCTTTACCCGTCCTCACTGTCCCAACCGAGTAAAGCTTTAGTGGCAGTGGATGGAGCTCAGACAGAGTGAATCATAATGCGAGCTTGCATTCGGAAGTATACACGTGAGCAAGCCTGATGATGCACATTTTTGGACGCTAGTCTCAGCAATTTTAGCATTTTTCGGAAGCTGTTCTTTGCTTGCATCCTGAATCCAGCAACTATGCTGGCGTGAACACAGCGAAGAAAAACCGAGACTCATTATAGTGGGGTCGCGAAACGTAAGCACAGGTGAGAGCTGAATTCACGTGTGAAGGACTGGACTTCATAAAAAGACGAATTCGTTGAAACTTCCTAATTTTTCTAGTCGCTAACAAGCGAGCGAACAAACACAAAGATACACACACACACACACACACACACACACACACACATAAAAACATAAAGGCAGTCAAGCACAATTTCAGACATACGCAAACGTACACGAACAAACACACGCACATACACAAACACACACAAACAAACATACCGAAACCAAACGCAAACATCTTCGACTGCTGCTGCAGCACAAAATATATGAAATCCACCCAAATGTCAGAAGTTACCGTTTTGTACTGCTCCAATGGGGGCGCTGGTGCTTCAGCTAAGGCACTAAAATATGCAGGCAGTCGTAGTTAGCTGTACAGTTAATCATGCAGCCATTCATTTTCATCACTTCGTAAATTTCTGTGGATGGATGCGGAGAGCTGTAAATGCTCTGCGACTACAAAAATTCGGACTGGCCAGGTCGGGTTGCAAAGCGAGTTGTGGTAACTGGAAAGATGGTGGCAGAGGGGTGGGAATGGGAAAGAGAGAGAGTGAAGGTTTAGGTTTGGGGGTCGTAACGGGATGGGGATGAGGGGCGGGATGAGGGGCCGGGGAGGGGGGGG